GTAAGTAGCTGTATATGCTCAGCGTGTTGCAAATCGCGTGCCACTTTTGAAGATTTCATAAGGCGATCCAAAGTCTGTAGCTTTAGATACAGTGTCTTCCCGATTTTTGAGTCATTTTGTCGACAGCACTCGAAGGCAGCAGTTGGATGCAGGATGATTCGATTGATAGCTTCAGTTTTACGCAGAACGATACCATCGAAAAGCGAACCCGCACTTTTAGTGATTTCCTACGATGCCTTTCACCCGGAATATTTAAATCGTGGAGTTACACCACATCTAAATAGATTTCGGAAAGAGGGCACTTCGGCACAATTCATGTTTAACGTTTTTCCCACGAAGACATTTGTCAATCATTTTACCATCGCAACGGTAAGTACTCAGAATTGTTAGCTGTTACTATTGAAAAATATTACTGTTTTTCGATTTGGAACCGCACGATAAATTCGAAAATGAGGCCATAGAGGAAATTTCATCTCTTTAACAACTTTTTTCCATTCAACTCCGACATAGGGCCTGTATGCAGAGACGCACGGTGTGTTAGCAAACGAAGTATATGATTCAGAGCAAGGAAAATTGTTCTACGGCTATGATTTATTTCATTATAGCAATAAAACGATTCCACTTTGGGTAATTCCACTCAATTTATGCCATTTTAAACGACCATTTCTAATTCATTTTCCATTTTTGCAAATATTTGCGTCGTACTTTTAGACGGCAAATGAAAAAGCTGGCAAACATTCCGGCTGCATGATGTGGACTGGTAGTAACTTCGAATACGATGGTATAAATTGTACGTTCACTGTGGGATTCAATGAAGAAATGAAGTGGGAGGATAGAGTTGACATCGCCTTGTCATGGTTTAACGACAAGAAAACACCAGCGAATCTCGTTATGTTGTACATTGAAGAGCCTGACTCGCATGGGCACATTTACGGGCCCGACTCACCTGAGGTAAGTTCGAACGTTTTTTTTTTTTATTATTTTAATTTTTAAATGTCACGTTGTTGTGAGGAATTGACACATACGTAAGTTTTCTTATCAGATCTTGAGATAATCACACTCCATGTCAAGGACACTATCAACACTCGATGTTCACTTCAATGACAAATAAAACACTGTTTCATTTCATTTTGCATATTTTCTTTGTTTGATTCTTAAAATCAGATAACGAATATGGTGGCGAGACTAGATAACCTCACGCAATATATTCAAGACAAGTTGACTGCAACGGGCTTGGACAAACGTGTCAACGTAGTTTACGTGTCTGATCACGGAATGATTGGCGTAGCTCCACCGAATTTCATTTATTTGAATGAGACTTTAGCTAATGACAATTGTGAAATATTCGGAACATCGCCAGTGCTACAAATTGTACCAAAGGATAAAAGTGAGTGAAAATGTACAGGAACTTTAAAAGTGAAACTAAATGGAAATTCCTGATTAGTTGGAATAGTGTTTGATATCTAAAATTGTTGTTAATTTGACTTTGAATCTGATTCCATCGAATTTATTTGATTTCTCTTCTTTAAGGAGATAAACCATTGAAAAAAATAAGAATATTAATTCCAACGAATTACAATTCCACATTCAAATGAATTCTACATTTTGATTTCAGCCAAAGAGGATGATATTTTTGCCAAGTTAACCAAGGCTGCCGAGCAGAACGGCCACTTTAAAGTCTTCAATCAGAAGAATATTCCAGTGCGATGGCATGTAAATAATACTCGACGCATGGGACCGATACTTGCTGTAGCCAACAGTGGATACGGGTTCCAGGATTTATGGGGAAATGCGCTAATTTATGAAAGAAAATACAATATTTCGAGTAAGTGAAATCAATCTAAATACACGGTGAACTTTTTGATCATTTTGGCTTTTGTTCTCAGTAACCAACAAGACCAAATACGGTGTTCATGGGTATGACAATCAAGATCCAAATATGCATGCAATTTTTATGGCCAAAGGACCACTATTTGCCAAAGGCAAAATACTCAAATCTGTCAATATGATTGATTTGTACAACTTATTCTGTTACATTCTAAATATTCAATGTCACCAAACGGATGGAGCGTAAAAACTAGATATGTACGACGATCTGTTTGCCTGTAAACCCGTTAGAGCCACAAAGAAAGGTAAGCGCCGTCATTCGTGATCATATGTATTAAATAAAAGCGCATTACTGTAATGACCTTCTGCATGTGTTTCAATCATATTGCTTCAAATGACTAACACTACCGTTTATTTACTCAAAATTGCATGAATAATAAAGATGAGATTCTTATTGTCGTTTTAACTTGCTCGCTTTTTATGTGTTTTCGCATTTCAATGCTTTTTAAGTACAAAGATATTTCAATGAAACTGCATGCTTTTTTAGATCATAAGATAAACAAAAACTCTCACAATAAACCGTTCACCATTGTTTTGATGCGATTTAATTAACAGTATAAAAAAAACAAATTGTTGATTCATTCTCCTTTCGTTAGTTTAAGTTTAATTTTTAGCCGATAGAAACGAGTTTGAGCGAAAACATGAAGCATTATGACTTTTGAACCACTTGGTTTCGTATCACAGCTGTTATTGGCCGCTTATTTATTTATTATCCGTTTCAAAACAGTAATTGTTCACGTGATAGCATGATAGCATATGCATAGAACATCGAAGAGATCAATAACATCGAGTCTTTTTTATATTTCAATGATGCATTTGCCACTTTCGTAGCGGCAAAAACTCTGCCAAATCCGAAGAAATCAAGTTTTTTTTCTATGTATCGACGAGTAAGGAAACAAGAACGTACATGTTTTGGCAACGTGGCTTCACTAGTGATTATGAATGAACGTAATTTCTCGCTACATTTCTCATTACGTTCATTCATAATCGCTATAATGTAACGTTGCCGAAACCTGAACGTTCTTGTTCGTTACTGCGCACTTCTTTTCTACGGTGAAGCAGACTGCTTTGTTGATGTTTATAACAATACGGGTAAAACACCGGCGCTCCGAGGTTTTCATACAAACTTCCCATGTAGACGATCGGAAACAGACAAAAATCGAAAGAAAAAAGTTAAAAAAAAATTTTCGATTCTCATACAGTATTCCATGTGCCCAATCCAATGGTATTATCGGCACATCGAAATTCGCGCTCCTTTTCACTTAATTTTCACTCCGAAGCCAAATCACAACCAAAACCACCATTACAATGAATCATCATTCCAATGGACTTGAAAGTGTATCGAACATTTTTGCTTCAACGAAGCAGTGATAACGAACGCAGTGATAACAGGCTATTTTTTGTTCATTTAGTGCTCTCTGTAAAATATATCGTAAGTGGATGTTGCTCTCGACTATGAAGCGGAACTGAATTCAGGATAAATTTCTTATTTCCAAGAAATTGTTTGATCTCTCTGTATACAATATTCAAATAAAGTATCCGAAGCGCATTTTCATTTCTTTGTTTCTTTATTCATTTAATCTAAAGCAAATATATTCATTTTTTGAAATTTAAAACAAATGGCAATTAAACTGAATTTCATTTTTTGTTGCTGAGAAAAACGTAATCGATCACCGTTCATACACGTCAATTCATACATGTGATGATAAAGTGGCTATTGTTCAATAAAGTTTGAGTCACAAGAATTCCAATCATATCACATGATTGAAGTGTAAAAAAGCTGCTTTAGATAATGAAAGTGTAGCATGTGAGTTTGAAATTGAATTACCCATGGGGAAATAATTGATTCGAGTTGTTTTTTTGTTCGCAATATTAGGTAAGTGATTGCCCAGTTGCGCAGTCATTTGATTCAGTTATTGTGTGCGTTAAACACTTGTTTGTGATGTTGACGGTGTCATGCGTAGTTTTATTATTATGTTTAAATATTTTGCGTGGATCATGTGAAGCTGCATCATTTGAATCTGAATCCGAATCAGGACCAGCATTGCTGATCGTTTCCTATGATGGTTTTCGACCGGATTACTTGTATCGAAATGTTACACCAACTCTAAAGAAATTACGATCGGAAGGAACGTCAGCGCGATATATGTACCCAGTTTTTCC